AAAGATGCAGGACGTAACATAGGTCACCAGGATCACCACACTCACCAAATATCTTGGTTACAGGCTTCCCCGCTGAGACCTTCTACCACAGCATGCAACCTGTCCTTACCAAATCTAGCATCCTGGCAGTACCCATTGCCGCCGCCGTCTTTGTTCCCTTCTACTACGAACTAAAAATTGTTTCCGCTTACCAGGTATGTGATCTAACTTACCCTTAGGGAGAGGAAAAAATACAAGTTATATTTGTATGCAGCAAGTTAACATTAATACCATTCACCATCTTCCTTCCCAAACCTCCCTACGGCAGTGTCCCCAAATGTTCTGTTACCGGAATAACGTCACCCAGGCAATCTAAAACGAGAGAAGTTCACGTTTTAAGACTGTCAACTTACAGATAGTAATAAAGTACAACTGCTAGGCAGACAGTTGTCAACACTTGTCACACTAACTTGTACGGTCATGACTGACACAGTACCTGGAGATGCGGTTCAACTCTGTGACAACGCGTCGTGTGGCCAGCGCCCTCTTCATCACGCAGACGCTTCTCTACCAGGCCATCGTCATCTACGCCCCGGCTCTCGCCCTCGCTGCCGTCACCGACTTCCCCATGTGGCTCGCCATCCTTGTCGTGGGCGCTATCGCCTCCTTCTACACTACCATCGTGAGTATTGATTACACAAATATATACATAATTAGAGAATTCCATGGCCACGTCGGGGAAGGAAGGCTTAGTGGCCTCTGTAGGATCCCCCCAGTATTCTTGATCGTCTTGTTCAGCATAGGTCTCACTTCCACCTCTTATGCTGGGACAAACTTCCTTAAGTCTACCAGCCTGTGTGTGACGTAGTACTTCAGTATATTAGTTATCTGTGGGACACAACGACCTCACTTTAATGTCACGTCTTCAGCACAGTTGAAGGCATTCATTCCCTCACAGGAAAGAACTCTTGGAAAATTCAACATTATTTTCTGGTGCCAAGATTTCAGTTGATAATTTGGATTCAAAAATTGTCTTCCCCATTAAATTCCAGGTGGACGAGAAATCTTAAGTGAAGTTTGAACTTCAAGTGGAACTTGAAATTCCATTTGGTTATGGGAGTGTGGTGTTTACACGTCAAGTATTATCTGGACTCGATATAACGTCTCTACTTCACTCATTATCGGGGCTCCTGGCGGCGCTAACACCATAAGGGTTTACACTCACGATGCCTATAACTAAATATTCTAAGTGAAGGTGTCGACACTGCAGGGAGGCCTGAAGGCGGTGGTGTGGACCGACGCCCTACAGTTTGTGATCGTGCTGGGAGGCCTCATGACCATCGTCATCATGGGAGTGAAAGAGGTGGGCAGCCTGCAGAAAGTATGGGACATCAACGTCAAACATAAGCGTGCAGGACTACAGATTTTCAAGTAAGTTCATCAGACACAAACAATAAGCTACAAAGTTTCAAGGTTCCGGCGATAATTGTGTATCTAATTTACCTTCTTTGTATTGTTCAAGGATCCGTATGTTGTTATAAAAAAGGCCGATTATTAAGCTTGATTAACAAGAGGCCAGCTAAGACAATAGAAAATTTAATGGTTTTATGTTACCGTAACATAATGTATTATTTGTTTGTTTTTTTGTTCCATTATTATCTACTGTGTTGTATTACACTGAATTGTTGTATTGGTCAGCTGGAGTCCGGACATATTTGAGCGACACACCGTGTGGGGTCTGTCGTGGTTCGGCTTCTTCAGCAGCATTGTGGAATACGGCAGCTCCCAGACGGCCATCCAGCGGTACTCCAGCATGAAGAGCCTCACCCACGCCTACCTGTGAGTACTGCGTGGGTGTGTGTGTGTTTCCACTTGCGTACAGGTGTGCATGTGCGTTTACAGATAGGGACATGATTGTTTACGAGAGTGTAAAGGAAGCAAGGAGGGAGAGTAACAAAGGTGTCAGGTGTACCACAATGGTTACTATGACTCTCTCTTCAGGTCAGTGTTGCTCCTCGTCCCATACTTCGCCGCCGACGCTGTCCTGTTGACCCTCACTGGTAAGAACTGGCTTTTGTCTTGACCCTCTGTAGTGTCATGCTCACCTGAGAGTGTCAACAAACTAGCTAAAACAGGAATTACTAATCTTAAGCAAAATATTGACTCGTGGGTTAGTTGAAGGCCGAGGAGAATTTACTGCTGTAAGTAAGAGGTCAAAGGTGAAGGTCACAGGTCAGGGTTAATGTTCTGTACAATGTGATTTCAATGGTGCACTGAGGATGTGATCCACTGATGTACACTGGACTAGTTACATACACCTACAGTGCTTCTATACCAATAAGTTTCAACAGCCGATGGCGTCCCTTCAGCTGACCGTAGAGTGAAGAGGATGTTAGTTATTGTAAACATTTTATTATAATAAGTTTTTATCAACCAGTGAATATGCTGAAGGACCCACGACCCACTAGTTACTCTAGTATATGCTCCAGCATGACCCACGACACTTTAGTTGCTCTAGTATATGCTCCAGTATGACCCACGACACTCTAGTTACTGTAGTATATGTTTCAGTATGACCCACGACTCTTTAGTTGCTCTAGTATATGCTCCAGTAGGACTCACGACCCATTAGTTACTCTAGTGTATGTTCCAGTAGGACCCACGACCCTTTAGTTACTCTAGTATATGTTCCAGTATGACCCACGACCCTCTAGGTACTCTAGTATATGCTCCAGTAGGACGCACGACCCTCTAGTTACTCTAGTAGAGTGGTTCTGAACCTTGTTTGCCCCATGCACCCCTTTCACCATATGTCAGAATGTCATTCCCCCCTCCTTTCCAAGATTGTCTGCCTCAAGAAGTGCATTCCAAATAATATGCATATAATACTGAAAATCCTTTATTTTTCCATATTAGTACATATACATTTACAATTTTACATGGATTATTTTTATAGTGGAGTTTTACAAATTAAATCCCAATTGAAAATGTTGATGGATTTATAAAACTTGAATAAAAGTAAAATAGTTTTTTATATTTATAATGAATTACTTAACAGACCAAACTGAAGCATTATGCAATAAACAAAAAGTTCAATAGAATACCAGGATATTGTAAATTTGTAATTAATTTTATTCAGATGAAGATTACAGTCAATGAGAAACCTGTGATTGTTTTTTCTTCGCCAATTCTGGGATACGCGGAGGAGTGCTTGAAAGGGCACAACGCAGGTCATTTTCTACCTCTAATCTACTACGGTGCTTCGTTTTAATTTGCAACAGAGTTGAAAAGCCTGACTCACAAAGATATGTCGGCACAAACGGAAGCAATGCACGGATAGCTCTTTCTGCCACTTTTGGGTAGGAATCGCACATCAAGGGCCAAAATTCTGTGATTGATTTCTCATCGAACATATCTCTTGCTCCCGAATCAGTTTCCCCCCTCCTTGAAAACCTGAATTCCCCCCCTGGGGGGAATTTCCCCCTGGTTGAGAACCCCTGCTCTAATATATGTTCCAGAATGACCCACGACCCTCTAGTTACTCTAGTATATGCTCCAGTAGGACCCACGACACTCTAGTTACTCTAGTATATTTTCCAGTATGACCCACGACAGTCTAGTTACTCTAGTATATGCTCCGGTAGGACCCACGACCCTCTAGTTACTCTAGTATATGTTCCAGTAGGACCCACGACCCTCAAGTTACGCTTGTATATATTCCAGTATGACCCACGAACCTCTAGTTACTCTAGTATATGTTCCAGTATGACCCACGACCCTCTAGTTACTCTAGTATGTGTTCCAGTAGGACCCACGACCCTCTAGTTACTCTAGTATATGCTCCAGTAAGACCCACGACCTTCTAGATACTCTAGTATATATTCCGGTATGACCCACGACCCTCTAGTTACTCTAGTATATGTTCCAGTAGGCCCGACCCTCTAGTTACTCTAGTATATGTTCCAGTATGACCCACGACCCTCTAGTTACTCTAGTATATGCTCCAGTAGGCCCCACGACCCTCTAGTTACTCTAGTATATGTTCCAGTATGACCCCCGACCTTCTAGATACTCTAGTATATATTCCGATATGACCCACGACCCTCTAGTTACTCTAGTATATGCTCCAGTAGGCCCCACGACCCTCTAGTTACTCTAGTATATGTTCCAGTATGACCCACGACCCTCTAGTTACTCTAGTATGTGTTCCAGTAGGACCCACGACCCTCTAGTTACTCTAGTATATGCTCCAGTAGGCCCCACGACCCTCTAGTTACTCTAGTATATGTTTCCAGTATGACCCACGACCCTAGTTACTCTAGTATATGTTCCAGTATGACCCACGACCCTCTAGCTACTCTAGAATATGCTCCAGTAGGCCCAACGACCCTCTAGTTTCTCTAGTATATGTTCCAGTATGACCCGACCCTAGCTACTCTAGTATATGCTCCAGTAGGCCCCATGACCCTAGTTACTCTAGTATATGCTCCAGTAGGCCCATGACCCTCTAGTTACTCTAGTATATGTTCCAGTATGACCCATGACCCTAGTTACTCTAGTATATGCTCCAGTAGGCCCATGACCCTCTAGTTACTCTAGTATATGCTCCAGTATGACCCACGACCCTCTAGTTTCTCAAGTATATGCTCCAATAGGCCCTACGACCCTCTAGTTACTCTAGTATATGCCTCTAGACCCACGACCCTCTAGTTACTCTAGTATATGCTCCAGTAGGCCCCATGACCCTCTAGTTACTCTAGTATATGTTCCAGTATGACCCACGACCCTCTAGTTACTCAAGTATATGCTCCAATAGGCCCCACGACCCTCTAGTTACTCTAGTATATGCTCCAGTAGGCCCCATGACCCTCTAGTTACTCTAGTATATGTTCCAGTATGACCCACGACCCTCTAGTTACTCTAGTATATGCTCCAGTAGGCCCCATGACCCTCTAGTTACTCTAGTATATGTTCCAGTATGACCCACGACCCTCTAGTTACTCTAGTATATGCTCCACTGTGACCCACGACCCTCTGGTCACTCTAATATATGCTGCAGTATGATCCACGACCCTTTAGTTACTCTAGTATATGCTCCAGTAGGCCCCATGACCCTCTAGTTCTCAAGTATATGCTCCAGTAAGGCCCACGACTCTCCAATATATGCTCAAGTAGGCCCCACGACCCTCTAGTTACTCTAGTATATGCTCCAGTAGGCCCCATGACCCTCTAGTTACTCTAGTATATGTTCCAGTATGACCCACGACCCTCTAGTTACTCAAGTATATGCTCCAATAGGCCCCACGACCCTCTAGTTACTCTAGTATATGCTCCAGTAGGCCCCATGACCCTCTAGTTACTCTAGTATATGTTCCAGTATGACCCACGACCCTCTAGTTACTCTAGTATATGCTCCAGTAGGCCCCATGACCCTCTAGTTACTCTAGTATATGTTCCAGTATGACCCACGACCCTCTAGTTACTCTAGTATATGCTCCACTATGACCCACGACCCTCTGGTCACTCTAATATATGCTGCAGTATGATCCACGACCCTTTAGTTACTCTATTGAGTAGCCCGACCCTCTACCTACTCTAGTATATGCTCCAGTAGGCCCCACGACCCTCTAGTTACTCTAGTATATGTTCCAGTATGACCCACGACCCTCTAGTTACTCTAGTATATGTTCCAGTATGACCCACGACCCTCTACCTACTCTAGTATATGCTCCAGTAGGCCCCACGACCCTCTAGTTACTCTAGTATATGTTCCAGTATGACCCACGACCCTCTAGTTACTCTAGTATATGTTCCAGTATGACCCACGACCCTCTAGCTACTCTAATATATGCTCCAGTAGGCCCCACGACCCTCTAATTGCTCTAGTGTATGCTCCAGTATGACTCACGACCCTCTAGTTACTCTAGTATATGCTCCAGTAGGCCCCACGACCCTCTAGTTACTCTAGTATATGTTCCAGTATTACCCACGACCTTCTAGTTACTCTAGTATAGGCTCCAGTAGGACCCACGACCCTCTAGTTACTCTAGTATATGTTCCAGTAAGACCCAAGACCATTTAGTTACTCTAGTATATGTTCCAGTATGACCCACGACCCTCTAGTTACTCTAGTATATGCTCCACTATGACCCACGACCCTCTGGTCACTCTAGTATATTTTCCAGTATGACCCACGACCCTCTAGTTACTCTAATATATGCTGCAGTATGATCCACGACCCTTTAGTTGCTCTAGTATATGCTCCAGTAGGCCCCACAACCCTCTAGTTCTCAAGTATATGCTCCAGTAAGGCCCACGACTCTCCAATATATGCTCAAGTAGGCCCCACTACCCTCTAGTTACTCTAGTATATGTTCCAGTATGACCCACGACCCTCTAGTTACTCTAATATATGCTCCAGTAGGTCCCACGACTCACCAATATATGCTACAGTAGGCCCCACGACCCTCTAGTTAGTCAAGTATATGCTCCAGTAAGGCCCACGGCTCTCCAATATATGCTCCAGTAGGCCCCACGACCATCCAATATATGCTCCAGTAAGGCCCACGACCATCCAGTAATAGTTAATGCACAGTCTCACACTCCCTGTTGATCAATGTATCGCCTGCCTCTGGGTGTTTGACTGCAGGTCTGGTGGTGTTCGCGACCTACGAGGACTGCGACCCTCTGAAGGCCGGGCTGATCCACTCTAAGGACCAGATCCTGCCGTACTACGTCATGGATCGCTTCAGCTCTGTCCCTGGCCTGGCAGGACTCTTCATATCCTGCCTCTTTTCCGGGGCGCTGAGGTATGGCCTCATTTTCATAAGTATATTCTTCTCTGCCTGCCTGAGGCCCTGCTGGATATTGACACAATGTGCCACAACTGGATAATGTTCATAGATAAAGACTGACAGTCAAACAGATGTGTAGACAGAGAAATAAATTAATTGATATAAACAAAGAGATGGATAAATAGTATAGTGAAAATAACGAGTTGCCCTTCACCTGGTCAGCACCATCTCGTCCGGAGTGAACTCTCAAGCAGCTGTCACCTGGGAAGACTGGCTGTCTAAGATGCCAAGCTGTGCCTCCCTCTCCACCTCCACCCAGACCCTCATCACCAAGTTACTAGGTAGGTCCCACCCTCACACACCACCCACACCCTCATCACCAAGTTACTAGGTAGGTCCCACCCTCACACACAACCACACCCTCATCACCAAGTTACTAGGTAGGTCCCACCCTCACACACCACCCACACCCTCATCACCAAGTTACTAGGTAGGTCCCACCCTCATCACCAAGTTACCCACCCTCATACACCACCACCCTCACACCAGGTTACTAGGTAGGTCCCACCCTCACCCTCCACCCACACCCTCATCACCAAGTTACTAGGTAGGTCCCACCTCACACACCACCCACACCCTCATCACCAAGTTACTAGGTAGGTCCCACCCTCCTCCACCCACCCCTCATCACCAAGTTACTAGGTAGGTCCCACCCTCACACACCACCCACATCCTCATCACCAAGTTACTAGGTAGGTCCCACCCTCACACACCACCCACACCCTCATCACCAAGTTACTAGGTAGGTCCCACCCTCACACACCACCCACACCCTCATCACCAAGTTACTAGGTAGGTCCCACCCTCATCCTCCACCCAGATCCTCATCACCAAGTTACTAGGTAGGTCCACACTCTACCACCACACACCTCATCACCAAGTTACTAGGTAGGTCCCACCCTCACACCACCCCCACCCTCATCACCAAGTTACTAGTAGGTCCCACTCATCCTCCACCCAGATCCTCATCACCAAGTTACTAGGTAGGTCCCACCCCACACACCACCCACCCTTATTGCCAAGTTACTAGGTAGGTCCCACCACTCACAACCACCCACACCATCACGAAGATACTAGGTAGATCCCACCCACACACCACCACCCTCATCACCAAGTTACTAGAGTGGTCCCAATCATCCTCCACCCAGATCCTCATCACCAAGGATTCTAGGTAGGTCCCACCTCACACACCACCCACACGTCATCACCAAGTTACTAGAGTGGTCCCACCCCTCACACACCACCCACACCCTCATCCTGGGAGCACTAGGTGGGGTCCCCCCTCACACCACCCACACCCTCATCACCAATTACTAGGTAGGTCCCTCTCATCCTCCACCCAGATCCTCATCACCAAGTTAATAGGTAAGGGTCCCACCACCACCACCCCTTATTACCAAGTTACTAGGGTGGGTCCCACCCACACACCACCACCCTTATCACGAAGATACTAGGTAGATCCCACCTCCCACACCACCCACCCTCATCACCAAGCACTAGGTAGGTCCCACCCTCATCCAGCACCCTCAAGATTACTAGGTAGGTCCCACCCTCACACCACCCACCCCTCATCACCAAGTTTAGGTAGGTCCCACCCTCACCCTCCACCCACA